CACGCACGCACGCACGCACGCACGCACGCACGCACGCACGCACGCACACACACACACACACACACACACACACACACACACACACACTTATAGCTAATACAAACTTTCATACACATTCACACACGCACACGCACACACACGCGCCCGCGCACACACTCCCACACACCATTTTGTTCTCTCTTAGTTCAATCTCCTTAGAACAAAATTTGTATTATCTAAAATTTCACTTTTGGTTTTATTTTGCTTTCATTTTCTTTTCACTTGTAATGCTCAATCATAGCTATTAAGTCTGCCCGGGGGTGGAGACCTGGTTACCTAAGATACAGGTTCTCCTAGTTCAGGGACCAGCCTCCACAACCAGATTATATTTTGACGTTATGTAAAGCATCCATTTTTATTTTTACAAGCACTGTTTGAGGAGACAATAAATGATTTATTTATTTATTTATTTCAATGTATGAAAATACAATATTCGCTTCTACTTGACGGTTGCTTATATTAGCCACCATTTCAGGGTCGAAAACTAACTCAGTAAAGCAGGTTTCTCTTCTGTTCCAGTTAGATTTAAAGGGCACATAGGTCCAAGATGCTAAAAAAAAATTATTAGAAACAAATTATATTTTATGGTGCTCATCATCATACGACATCTTAGATTTTTGCGAAAAAAGATTAAATATTAGCGCCCAATTACACGAGGCGAAAGGTTTCACCGCGACCGCCCAGTTCCACGCCTTCATGTACATTAATGGCGAATCTGAATTCTATTTACTAGGCAACAACATTTACATTCATCTTAATCATACAACCGCACGGCGGCCGCGCGGGCCGCCGCTTAGACCAAAATTCAAGCTAGACTCGCGGTCCCCGGGACGCTCATTTAAGTTAAAACGTAAAAGCTAAACAAATAGAACTGCGGTCGCTGCGCGGCGGCAGCGCGGACTCCGCTCTTCGACCGCACAGTGACCGGGTGCGTCTAACTGTCATGACAAAGTACACTCTATTTGTTGAGCGACCACGGAAAGAATAAACGAACAATTGAATATTGCTTCATCATCTGTATTACGGGCATCGAGTAGATACTCGATGATTGCGGGTATTTTCAAATTATAATGATGGTAATAGTGAGGGTAGAAGAGTACTATATGACCGACCGTTATGAGCGAACATATTCTTCGGTCGAGGGTCGAACATTCAACAAGTTCAACAACTTCTCTACGACGAAAAGTCAAATGTATTTTTGGTAGTAGTCTTTGTGATTTTTGTGCTTGTGTTATTTAGACGCCGCGTCGCAGGAAATTTAACTGTATGAAAAAAATTTTCAACTCGAGCTCGGCTATTTTGCACGATTTAGCTCTCACTGCGTTCGCGAAGTGGCAAATTAATATGCTTCCATTTTTATCAACATGGATTTAAGCAAAGTACCTAACACCTGCAGCTTGATTTTGATTGCCTCTTCCGATCGAAAACTGCGTCCTTTTCGAGTCGAGGCGCATAATTGCGATTCACAACTGGCCGATAGGAAACTTTTGACATTAAAATTTGTAATCGGAACAATAGTTAATTTAACTCACAAATTAGAAAGATATAGTAGGAATCAGGTTCATCTTCTCGCTCAGAAACCCATCCGATTTCAAGACGCTACTCCATAAAATCGCAATGGAAATAACACGGTCAATTTCTTGGTCATAAGTCGGACAACTATAGAATATCGTCGCCTTACTTTCTCAAACTCGTATCTTAAAACACAGAGTTACTGAAATGCAACAAATGGATTATTTAGCCAAATGTTGCAGGCTGATTTCACATTTCCTTCATATTTAGGGGAAAGGTGTACCAGATGATCCCCTTAAGAGAGAATGGTGGTAGTTTAAAAGATTTTCAGCTTGCAAAAGCACATGTAAAAGCGTTGAATGATAGAAAATTTATCTATTTACATGTTGTCTTACTAAAAACGTTTTATTTTTATCTTTCATTATTATATTTGAATATTTTTAAAACCTTACTAAGGGTATGGGCAAAATGATCCAGGGGACCACTTTTCCTCTATTTAGAAAAATTTGTAAGTTATGGTAGAAACAAATGAAAACAACAACTTTTTAGACTTAACAAAGTCCTCACTTATGTAATCTAGGTATATGAAACAACAGTTACGGAACTTCAAGAACAAATAATTCTAATTAATTTATATCTTACAGGTACCTACGGGTGGGAGATATTGTTTTTTATGGCAAGTTGATATCCATCCTCATCTCCATTTCTTTAATGTAGTTTACAAGCTCGATTTCCTGTTTAACACATTTGATGAAAACAGTTTTTTTTTCACCTAAATATTTCATTCTGACATACCCTTTATTTTCACCTTTAGTCCGTCTTTTTAATGACATAACGCGTACGTACTGTTAACTATTTACTTGTCGATCTATGTGGCGTCCTAATTTTACGCCTCTAGTTCTTTAGATCATACTCTTCCGGCCACCACGAATGGTTTTTCTTTTAAAATTACGCGGCCTGGTCTAAAACAAGAAAAAGAATTTATATTTGTTATTAATCGAGATCGACCTTGTAAACGAAATCCAGTCTTCTATTATTTTATTCGCGTTGCAAGCTATTTAACCGTTAACAATATACACAGTAAAAGATGATCCCCACGGATAATCTCGTAGGACACCAAAACCATAATCATCTTGCCCCAATTTACTTATTTTTCTTTTTTGTTCGGCAAAATAACCTGTATGCTGTCTACTGTTACCACGCCATTTAAAAAGAAAATAGAACATTATACAAAGCCACCAACACAAAAATCTTAGCACTTGATTGCTTAGAATGGAAGTTGCCTAAGTTTTTAATCAACTTTACCTTAAATCAAACTCACACAATTATTGTTTTTTTTCCACAAAAATGAACTCGTCACTCACATCGCTATAACGAACTGACTGATGAGAGGTCACATTGAGGCCTACATTTTACTGAAGAACATATCTAGATGACGTTACTAGTTTCGCTATAATTGAAAAGGATCATCTTACCTCCAAGGATCATCTCGTACACCTTTCCCCTACACACTAGCTTTTACAAATTCTTAACACGTTCCCTGTGTAACTGGAAATCAGAAGTTGAACCCTCACGTGCAATTGTTTATTTTGCAATTACTTTGAAATTGGTATATGTTCATACATTTATGGACGAAAAAAACCATTTCCATAAACCGCCTTCCCATTTTCTCAATTTTCCCAAGAGCCCCATATGTGATACAAGCACGTATGAGTTCTTTACTTGGTGCCACATTAATGGGGCATGTAACTTTATAATCAAATTAGTTAAAAGGCAACATTGGTTAAAAAGTCATCCGGTATCACATGCTAATTGTCACAATTTTTGTAGTCCATACGTACGTAAATAAAGATGCAGGACTAAAGTGGACAGAAGGGCTCTGGCTAGAATGGGCGGACCGCGCGAATTTACATATTTCCTTCATTTTATTAAAATAAATTCACATTTTGAAAAGTTACGGAGTATACGTTATAGAAAAGATGTAATTCAAACACTGAGAAAACTACAAGCAATCGTGTTTTTAAAGAGTGTGATAATATGTAGAGTGAACCGTTAAATATCTTATGCATTAATTTCTTAACTATAGTTTTAGTAATAACGAGACAGCGAGGGATCAAACGAATGCAATTATTTAACAATTACGTATCACTGCCTCGGCACAGTAATTGTAAAGTCAACATATCCTACTAAAAACCAGCAAAATGCCCAATGTCGATTTTATTTTTGCATCTTTTCTAAGGAGCCAAGGCTACAATAATTTTGATAACATTGAGTAGCGTTGTCGAAACAAGCGACTGCTCCGGTGGAAAAGTTGCTTTTTATAAAGAAAAACTTAAAGAAATCTTACGTCTCATGCCCTTGTTGCTTCTGAAACTTGACGACGGAGACATGTCACGGGGCACTGAGTTGCATTTTTGCTGAAATAGACCAATAATACTTGATATAAGTAGATTGTTATTTTACGGCAATTCCATCAGCATCATAAATCACTTTTGGTCTGCCACTATCGTAAATTTTAACCACTACGGACCAATTTTTCGAATTTTCAGAGCAAATTTACGTACAGTATTTAAATCCAACTCTATGCCGCTTACGATAAGAACGGTCCAAAGTACAAAGTGTCAAGTTTGATGTGCTCTTGACTGTAACTACAATTTTAATCAACCGCTATTTTGGTATATATGAACCGCCTAATATCGTAAATTTTGTTCTTTTAAACGGAACGTATAAGGTGAATTTTAGCAGCGATACAAACGCGCGATTGAATCGCGACAGTTGCGATTTATAGGCAGTTGTATAGATGCAAACGAGCGACTATACCGATGCATCGCTTATGTTAAATCATTAAAAACCTTTATCGCGTTTGTATCGCTGCTTAAGTCGCGCGTATGTGCAAAGTAGGTAATAATAATAATAATACCAGCAAAGTACATCAATTAATCACACCAATATAAAAAACACATTGAAAACTAAATATAAACAGAGACTAAATAAAATACTTAGTACCCAATTATCGGCCAGAAATATTGTAAAACCATTGACTTACAATTATATGGACGTCGGGTCCGCGCTAAAAAGTGTCCGAACTTATAGGGCGTTAAAATCGTATACAGAGCGTCATTCACGCTTTAGTCTTCGTTGGGTCCACTGACAGCGAAGCAAGCAAAATTAGACAGTACTGCGATGACATTACAATTTAAATTCAACGTTTTAGCTTTTTCATATTCCTTTACATGTCACTACGTTTAAATAGGTTGACTTGGGACATTTTTTTCGTGGTTTTTGTATTAGACCCGTCGTCCATTTATTTGTAAGTCAATCCACTGAAAATAAATTTAGGTGGTCGCGGATGAATGGGCATTAAAAACTTACACTACACCCAAATAGACTATCTGCGAACATAGTTCATCAGAAAAGCTAACGACAGCACACTACAAAAAGCAATAGTACTCTTACCTCACTCCGGAACGCCTCTACAATTAAATACACCTGATTCACCAAACTCCACAAAAAAACACCACTTACTCACATCCCGTCATAATACCACAACCGAACCAGAATACTTGGCTTAGGCCCGTACCTGGTTCCAAATATCCGACCTTCAGTCGACAAGAAAATATCTTAATAATAATGCATACACTCATAGCCCCGCACTAGGGGAACCCTGTATCGCGGGTGCCATGCACACAAATAGGAAGTACCACAACTTACACCAAAAACTCACGAGAGAAATAAATGTAAGCCATACAAATATTTCTCCCGGTCCGGGACTCGAACCCGGGACCTCTGCGTGGCAGTCCAGCGCGGTAATGCAGTCGGATTGTCGAGCGCGAAGATGGACCTGCCCCCGTAGCATGGCTACGCTTGAGAGTCGCGACGCGCGCGATAAAATTGGAATAAGCGAGCTGTATTGGCTGTCTCTATCAGATCTAATTTAGAAGCTATTGGCTGTCTCTATCAGATCTAATTTAGATAGCCAATAGCGCGCGTTTAATTCAATTTTATCGCGCGCGTCGCGAGTATTATGCGTAGCCATGCTACGGGGGCTGGAGTCAATTGCCGCGGCGGCAATTTATTTTTTTACTACGTACAAATATTATGTAAGTGTGCACCTGAAGTAAGTTATTAAAAAAAATGGCTTAAAAGAAGGTGGTGGATGCTGACTATCCACTGAATAATGACCCATAGTTTGGAGCCCGGAAAACCGACAACAAAGCAATCACGCGCCATCACAGGCCATCGTGGCTGCCACTACGCCACTACGTCCTCTATACGATGGGCCATCAAGATTGACCATCACGAGGGGCCATCGTGTACCTAGAGGGTGCATTAAAGACGAATTTTTATTTCGTTTATACTAATAATCGAGACTGAGACTGTATAGTCAAGAGCACATGAATCTTCGCCGATCTAGATCTACGTTAGTTTCTCAATGTCGATACTTACTACAGGCAGGTTGATGACCGGGAAGTCGGCAGCATTGTAGTCGTTCTCATGGTGCAACTGATGGTGCATCGCTAATGCGCTTTCGAAATTTGCGGAAAAGTTGCACTGCGAACATCTACAATATATGTAACGACATGAATCAGAGGCTTTACACAAGGAAGTAGGAGTAGAGCTCCTTGTGAAAGAGTCCGTCCAGCGAAGTACTACCACCGTACCCATTGCTGCCGTCAAATAGTATCTACATAATGTGACCAGTATTGCATTTCGGATTGGGCACATGGGACTCATCAAATTATGTCTCAGGGTGGCGAGCGCAGTGGCCGTGCCCCAATCTTTGCTAATTCTCATGTGGGGTAAAGGAGCAGATATACAAACCAATTATGTTACAAAAACGAGCGATTCGTTCTGTGTACCGATTAGGTGCTCGGATTTCTCTCAGAGAAAAGTTTAAGGAGACTCACAGTACATTCATTCAAATAATTTGTATGCCCGTAAAAATATACATAATTTCATTAAGAAAGAAGATATCCATAATATTAACCATAGAGCTAAGTCCAAACTCATGGTACCACGATATCGTTTAACTAAGGTAAACGATTATTTTATGGCGAACCGTATACATTTTTACAATAAGATGGGAAGAGGGGAATATATTAAGATTATCGTTTCCTAAGTTTGAAACTTACATTAAAAGTAATTTAATTGAAAAGTCATATTGCAAAACTGAAGAGTATGTTTTAGATAAAGAAGTATGGAAAGGCACCAAGAGTCTAGATTCCACACAATTATGATTCAAAATGTATTCCATAGCATTGAAGTTTATTTGAAAATAGCAATCTCTAGAGTTTCTTGTTCGTTTTTCTCAGGGAGGTCAGCGTAGTGAACGAGCAGCAGCTTAAAAAATGACATTTTCAAGTGTAAAAATATTACTGGAATAAATGATTATTTCACTTTGTCTTAAAACTCTGAACGGCCCTGCAACAGGTATGGATGAGCGTGTCGCTTACCACTAAACGCAACGACTTGTTCGAACAGTCACTTGACATCATGAAAAATACGCCCAAAATTACGAGTCAAAGGTGCAACTTTTCAGGTCCCAGATTTTCGTCATTTCACTTTCTCATAACTGATAGTAACACGCATACAGTATCATGTGCTTTTGCTGTCCACGTGATTTCCACACTCCTTTCTGTTGTAGCGGCCATTAGTCCGCCGATAAACGTACCCAGCCCATTGCTGCTTCCTTTGGATTTTAAGACAATTGGGATGAGTCCCCCGAATCATGCAATTCCATCGCACACTCTCCGTGATATACTCCGTGATATACGTGATGTCCTGTAGAATACCGATAAGCAGGCAACTTTACGACGGTGTTCAAGGCTCTGCACCTTCGCCTCTACTTAATCCGAGTCACTTGTCGATCGAATCCAAGGTGGCCAGTTGGTATATAGTAGAGCCATCCTATAAATGGCACCAGTACTCCATACACGACCGGACTTGTGCTTGGAACAGCTGAAGCAACTGTCCCGGTGTCCCTAGTCCCTAGGGATAGGGTTTTCCGGTTAAACTACGGGCTCGACGTCTTTAAAGTCGGGTCTTTAAATTGAAAGGTATGTCCGGAAATTATCGCAGGACACTGCTACTTGGCATCTCCGGCACTAGCCCGGAGAGCTAGACATTTTCCGGTCCCTCCGGCCGCGTAGGAATTTGGGAACTGGAGAGACACCGTTCATTCGGCGTCGGGAAGTGACCGTGCCTTACAGCTCCGCCAACAATTAGGAGATTTGGTAGTCGACTTAGAGTCGGCGGCTCAGCGGTGGCAACCGTTAGTCGTGAGGAACGTGACGGGAAGTGAGCGTGTCTACAGCCCAGTACCTGTCTGGAAAATAGGGAGGGTACTGTTGTACGTTCACCCGAGGCGGCTCACCCGAGGCACTAGCCTCTTGAAGAACCGGATAAGTTAAGTGACAGAGGTCTGTGACAACCCTGTACACTGGCTGATCTGAGGTCAGAACCTGAACTTATAAGGTTCCTGTGCGCGCTCAGGTTATAGTGCCCTTCTCGTATACCCCAAGGGTAAAAAAAAAGGTCGGGAAGGTCACTATAATCAAAACTAGAAAGTTAACATGGGGCTGTCCTGGTGTGGCTCTCTTGACAACCGGATGAAGCCAGCGACAACGATCTGCGACAACGCTGTACACTGGCTGATTTAGGGTCAGAACCCGAACTTAAGTTCTTGTGCACGCACAGGTTATAGTGCCCTTCTTGTATACCTTAAGGGTCGGTAAGGTTACTAATCTTCACAATCACTAATCAAAACTAATGTAGAAAGATATGGGGCTGTTACAGTGTGAAGTAACGCCTCACCCTGGAAAGGATGCCAAATTTCTTGGCTGCATTTTTGGCCATGAATTCAATTTTTTATTAATTATTTATTTCATTATTTAAAGTGATCCACAGTGCTTTTCCGCCTAATATTTACTCTATCAAAGCAGATCTGTACAGTAGGTATGGTAAGGATTACTTACGTATGATTCATAATGATTTAACAAACTTCTATAAACCAAAATAATTAAGAGTAAAGTGATAAAAATTAATATAAAAGTGTGAAGTCTACTTTTTTTCTCTTTTTCTTCTTCCTTTAGTGGTTCACCATGAATCGAGATTGGTGTCATTTCATAGAGCATATAATTATTTTTTGTATCAGTGGATATGACACGTCAGTTTCTTTTGTCAAGAAGAAAGTTTAATCTTCAAAAGGAGATTTCCCCTAAGTTCGAAGTAAGATAGTTATAAACAAATCATTGGTTACAAATAAAAAATCGCTAGGTAGAGTAGCTATCCACAGATATATATTTCATATACAAGGGGTCGTACGCGAGAACTCTACTCAATGCTCAAGTCAGGATTTGAGCAGACTTGAGTATGATTTCAAGCACTGGAAATACGACTCTAGTGGCAAGGACTTGAGTATGATTTCTAGTGCTTTGAATCATACTTAAGTCCTGGTTCTAGAATACGACCCTATAAGCCATGAAAGGTTAAAACTGTCTTTAAAACTTAGAGGAGGGAAATAAAAACATTAGTCTATTGTCACTGAAGTCATTGTCAATGTTGCCAAATGGTTACATTTCTTACATTTTTCGTAACTTTTGACCTCGCGTAATATGTTAGTAACGTTTGGTTTTCTGTTTTAAAGGTAATTTTCGTGACTTAATTACTCAATTTTATTTAATTTTCGTAAAGATTTAAAATAAATAACCCCAAGTACTTGATGCGTAAAGCGGAATTTTTACTCATGGAGATTTATACCATAGAATTGATAAATCGAATCGGCTATTATTATTATTATTATTTATTTCGTTGCCGATCATTCAAAGTTTTCTTGTAGTAAACAAGAAAGCATAAATTTTGTTTTGTTTGGTTGTTGTTGATTTTTTAAATTGTTGTGTAGTTTTTTTAGTAACTTAATAACATGATAATTGAGTCCTTTGTATTTTGTTTATTATTTGTTCTCAAACTATAGTCTCTAAATCGATTATCTCTTTGTTATAATATTTCGATTAGATATTTAAATCGATTTTTTCCATTCGATTTTACATCACTACATCTCTAGAAACTTCAAATCTCAGACGTCACTGTTCCCATGCCATGTGAAAAAGAAACAGACCATTCTCTATGTCGAGTCTCATAAACTCAATAATTCCATCATCTTTACTGATTCCAAAAGTTGCCTTCAATCCATCCTGTCAAACCCTTTCCACTCTTCCTTCCGGTTCCCTATTATACTTAAAATTAAACAAGTCCTGTTTGAGTGTTACAAGCAAGGTGTAAACGTGGTGCTAGCCTGGATACCTGGACATGTTGGAATCCCAGGCAATGAGACGGTAGATTTCTGTGCCAAATTGGCTTCCCGCATAGGTTCAACTGAACACTCCAATTTGTACTCCCACGACCTTTGCCTACTCCCAGAATCCCTTCTTCGTGATCGTTGGTCGAAGTACTGGGAGAAATCCCAAAAAGAAAAGGGCAAATATTATGCGGACATCCAACCCCAAATTCCTACAACACCATGGTTTTTCAAATTCCGTACAGCAGATAAAAAAACCACGTCAACAATATGCCGGCTTCGCTTAGGTCACGCGTGTACTCCTATTCATTTGGCTAAACTTAGGATAAAAGATAACTCATTGTGTGAATGCGGTCTAGACGAAGGAAACGTGGACCATATATTTTTTGACTGCCCTAAATTACGGTGTTCCCTATATGACATACTCCCTACCTCTATCCCTCGTCCTACTTCCTTTAAATGCCTTTTGGCCCTATCTTCTCACCCAAAAATGTATCATATTCTTTTTAAATTCATACATGTAAATCATATTAAACTGTAAATATTATTCATGCTCTAACACTATATTTAACATGTATACATGTTTCTAACGACTTGTGTTGTCTAATTTGTGCCGTTTCCTTTGTTGTAGATTTCAATTTGTGCAAAAGTCTCTTCGATTCTCCCTCTGAGTCACCGAACAAAATTCTAACACACCGTCCATAACGTTTATGAAGCTAGAAAACGGACACTGGCAGAATTGAGGCTATGTAGACTCAAAAGCCATTCATTAAGAAAAAAAAAAAAAAAAAAAAAACACACCTAAACATATAATACAGTGGGGAAAAGACTATGGAAAAATGCAGATGATCAAAAAAGCGTCACTGCGTCACTGTACTCAACACAAATCAAATCAAATCAAATCACAAAGCCGAATGTTTTTAATAAATGAATGCTAACTACGAATTTTCAAAGATCTTTAACAATAATTGGCACGACTGGCTCACCATCTTTACAGACAGACTGGTGCAGCGGTCTGGACCCCAAAGTACAGTGTAGGTACTATTAAGCTTTAAGTGCTCTCCCACCTCAACTGTATATACTGGTGAATCTGTCGCCGTTCTGTAGGTCATCTTGTACCTGAAGTCACACCGACTAAATAAGACGATAATTTTCTCTGATTGCCGTAGCTGCAAGATATTATCAACTTACCATTTCACTCAAGAAATAACTTCCATATCACCCTCCAAATTAAAGAACTATTATTTGACTGTCATTCATCTAATATCGACGTAGCCTTACCCTGGATCCCTGGACACAAAGGGATAGGCGGCAATGAAACTGCTGATAGTTTTGCAAAGGACGCTATCTCATCCGGCTTGTCGGACCACGCAGGCTGCTTCTCCCGAGACCTACGCTGTTCGCCTAAATCAAAATTGTTCAGGAGCTGGGACGAAACTTTCCAAAAATCGCTCCTACTAAAAGGTAAACACTTTGGCTGTCTCCAACCAAATATACCATGCAAACCTTGGTTCTTCCGCTACCAACACATACCTAAACCCTATTCATCAATGATTATCCGGCTGAGACTGGGTCACGTTTGCTCTCCGGTTTTCCTAGCTAAACTTAAAGTACATGATCACTCCCTCTGCGAATGTAGACTAGAGGAAGGCACTCTAGAACCATTATTTTTTAACTGCCCCCTAATAAGGTTCCCACTTTACGATTTGCTTCCCGAAAATATTCCTCGCCCAATAAATATCAACTATTTCCTGGCCAACGCACACTCTCCACTAGTATTCACTTTATACAAATTTCTAAAGCTTAATAACATAAATCTGTAACCAGATCCGAATAGCCTCCGCTCGATCACATTCATTTCATAATTTTCTGTCCCAACTAATGATGAGTCGAAGAAAAATTCCCATTTTTGAACAGTCTTGATTTTTTAGAAAAATGAATATTCTTCATTCTCCCCGTATTCTCCCAATATCTTTCGTATGACTTTATTTCTTTTTCCATCCTCCATGATAATTTTCCACGTTGACTCCGGTCAAAAGTTTGTTACTGAACGATGCCTAACTTTCTTTTACTAAACGATTTTATTTTTTATTTCCCGCTAAATAAAACTTCCTAAAATGTTTCCAAAAGAAAGAAAATAACATGAGCCCTCAAATTATATTTTTGTAATGTCATTAAGAAAAAAAATATATATAACCGTCAATGTGCATAATAACCGCCTAAGTATTTTAATCATTGACTTACAATTATATGGACGTCGGGTCCGCGCTAAAAAGTGTCCGCACTTGTAAGGCGCTAAAATCGTATACAGAGCGCCAAACTCCGCTTTAGTCTTCATTTGTTCTACTGACAGCGCGATACTGCGATGACATTACAATTTAAATTTCGAATAGGTTGACTTGGGACATTTTTTTCGTGGTTTTTGTATTAGACCCGTCGTCCATTTATTTGTAAGTCAATGATTTTAATAACCGGCAATCTATCTCACCACCGCACTACATGTCTTTCAACCCTAACGTTGGCGAAAGATTCGCTTTGGGCCTTTTGGAGGGAAAAGTGTCGTTTTTATTTTGACTTTCAATTATTTTGTGAAATCTAGTTTAAAGTGGAATAGGATAGTGCTATTGTGCCTTAATCGAATACTAAAACGCGAAATTATACGAACCTCGAACTAAAATACCCCTATCGGCCCGGTCTAAGGAATCCCGAGTCAATCCAATCACGCCGCCTCAAATTGCCTATCCTCTTTGTGGCGGCCATATTTACAGAAACATAATTAAACGAAGACATGGCTCAAAGGACTTGTATCCAAGCCAAAAGTATTAATAAAAATAAATAAATAAAAAAGACGTTTGCGAAATCGTCGCGCAAAACGACGGAGCCATAGATACAAAAGTTGAAGTTGAAGTTAATTAAATGAATATGGAGCCATAAAAATAAAAAGTGAAGTGAAGTGAAGCTCTCCAAAGAATAATTTAGAACTATATGTTTTTGTTGAATAAAATTGTGTATCCGTGTTCCCGAAATCAACTGATACCACGTTGAACCACAAAATATAACGGCTAATCATGTAAACTCAGATCAATTTATACCGGTAACCTAACACATAAACAATAAAAGTGCAAAAATGACTGAAACATCGTGCTATATCCTCGACAATGGTGCTTATACGGCTAAAGTGGGCTTTTCTTCAATGGAACCGAAGATAGTTCCAAATTGTATTATGAAAGCGAAGTCCGAAAGGCGTCGTCCCTTCATTGGTTCGCAAATCGACGATTGCAGAGACGCCTCTGGCTTATTTTACATCCTCCCCTTCCAAAAAGGCTTTCTAATAAACTGGGATACGCAGAAAACGGTTTGGGATTATATATTTAGCAAAGAATGCTGTCCAGTCAATTTTAACGAGACGCCTTTGATAGTCACCGAACCTTTATTCAATTTCTCGTCAATACAAGAAGCAATGACTGAAATATTCTTTGAAGAATATGAATGCCAATCTTTATTGAGGATAAACGCTACCGACCTTGCAGAATATGGTTACAGGCACAAAAATAAGAACCAGTGCACGGTAGTTGTCGATTCTGGCTACAGTTACACTTATATTGTTCCATATATTAATGGCAAGAAGTATAAAGAAGGTAAGACATGTGTCCTGTGTTTAGTTCCAAAATTAAAACCCACTTCCTCTACCTACAGGTTAGCAGTGTTAAATAAATTAATAATAATAATGCACACAGTCAATATAGGTCCGCACTAGGGAAACCCTGGGTCGCATGCGCTATGGACACACAGACAACCACACATTACACCGAAACTCCAAAAGAAATAAATGTAGGCCATACAAATATTTCTTCAGGCCAATTGGGGAATCGAACCTGGTACCTTTGCGTGGCAGTCCGGCATGGTAACTATTCGGCCTCGAAGGCAATTAAAGATCTAAAATAAAAAGAAAGAGTTAAAACATCTGCTTTGAGAGACATTCTTCTTTTTGGGAGCCATGATGTTGCATAAAGACGCAGATAGGCCAAGACCTATCTGTGTAGTTTAAAAAGAATATTGGCACAGTCAACATCTCTCGCTGTCTACTGAGATTCAAGCTTATCAACAACGTCTGTTGATTAACTTGAATCTGACTAGACTGTGATTGAGAGACTTAGGATTAGGTGCTGCCATAGCAGTACTTCTATATGCATCTTAATTTGAAGGCGCCATTGAACTCCTTTTAAAAAAATCCACCTATAGCACTGTAACCATTTGAACCTGTTTCTCTTATTCTCTAACTTTTAACAAAGTTACCATTTGATTATACTCTTAGCAGGAAAGATAAAATGTAAATGCGAACGGACAGTCTTTCTCCAGTTTAGCCAGCCACTGGTGTAATTCTGAATTTGTACAAATTAAATTTAAAATCTATTTTAAAATCATCTGATTTTGGTGTATTACGGTGAAAAATGCACATTTATTTATTTAATGTTTTATTGTTACAGGGATAAGAAGAATAGATGTTGGAGGAAAAGTTCTAACAAATCATTTAAAAGAGATCCTTTCATACAGGTATGTGGTTTTATCTGCTAAGTTATGTAAGTTTGTCTCGGAGTAATTGCTTAAAGCTAAGGATATTTTTGTTTCTTTTTTATTAATAATTTTAAAAGGGCTTTAGAAAGGCCATTGCACCAAGTACCAAGTAGAGCGTTCTACACCATAAACAAATTTAGAACACCTCATACAAATTTCAGAAGCCACTGTATTTTTTAACCGACTTTAAAAAAAGGAAGAGGTTCTCAATTCGACTGTACGGTTGTTTTTTGCATGTATGTTACGCGATAACGACATTTGTAAGCCGATTTTGATGATTCTTTTTTGTTGGAAAGAGGGTACCTCAGATGTGGTCCCATTCAAATTTGAAGAAAGTATTCCACCTCTAAGGGTGGCAAACTAGGGGATGAATGACTTTTGAGGTCAGTTTTTTAGTACTATGTACTGAGATTATTAAATATTGTTATGAGAGCATCCCCCATTAATCAATATCTTTGGTTTGTGGGCTACCAGTCTGTTCACACAATTTTGGTGTCATAAGAGACCCACCTGTTCGTGGTCTTTGGAAATGGATTGTTATCATACTGCTTATGGTATCAATTGACAATCTGAGCACATTTCAATGCACTTGCTAAGGCCTAATGTAATGTAAAGAGCTCGACGAATTTGATTGTTTGAAAGAACAAATATACGCGAATTAGATCCGAATACAATAATGTCATATTTATAATCATTGATACAAAAAAAAATTTTTCAAACCATCTGGATTCGAAGCAGCGACTTTTTCGCCAAATCGGGGCTATCGCTCACCCAACAGAGCTACGAAATAAGTTAGCAAGACTTCACGAATTAATTTTAGCTTTTTTAAGGGCTTCTTTGCCACCTGTGAGAAACCTATCAAAGCTTTTTCTTCACTCAGCTGGTTAGCTAGTTTACATCTACCAATGGCTGAGAAGAGACAGCGGCATGATAATATTAAATAAATAAATTATATTTTCACAGGCAGCTAAATGTTATGGATGAGACATATGTCATCAACCAAGTCAAAGAGGACTCTTGCTTCGTATCACAGGACTTTAATGCTGATATGGAGATTGCTAAGAAGAAAGGTGAGGTTTTTGCCATTTACACAAGATCCAGGGGTCAGTTTCTTTGAAGAACATAGCTTCCCATAGTGGTCGCTGAAGAGTCCTAGGCGGACGGTTGGGCCCTCGGAAGGTCGGGGTGTTGATGCTGTCCAGGGAGTGTTATCGCTACCGCTTTTGAAAAAAAAACCTTGAATTTATATAAACTACAGAACAATTTTTTTTCTTATTGCGATTTTTTTTGTTAAGTTAATATAAAAAATACGTGTATTCAATAATTTTTTGTAGTGGTAGGCTTTGAAATTTTTATATCTTACCAAAGTGAGCGAAAAAGGTCACAATCAAGCTGTAGAAGTATATAAAATTCACGGGCAACAAAATTGGGTGGCTAACTGACTTTGAAAAGTGATTGTGATATCTTCAATTGCAGCTTAATTAAGTTTTTGAAAGTAGAAAATCCATCTTTATCTTTTTGCAAATCTCAAGTTAATACTACATTGTTTGTTGCCTTTATTTGACACGAATTTCATCACACGCACACTCCGAGCGGCGACCGCGTGCATGTGTTTAAAGACCGAACTGTTGTAGCAAAATACGCTGTATTTATTTAGAATTTACGTTTAAGCTTAAATGAGCAAAGAAATATCAACTTCACGCCATTAGTCTTTTCTTTGGTCTACGCGGCTACCTCACGGCGATCGCGTGTTTATATTATTCCGAGGAATTCAAATATTGTTGCCTAGTACATAGAATTCAGATTCGTCATTAATGTACGTGAAAGCGTGGTAGCCGCACGAAAACTTTGGCGTCGTGTAAGTGGCCGCTAAACAAGGTTAAATTATCCGTACTTCAGTTGCATAATTTATTATGTAGAAGTCACACACACACACACACACTCGCTTTACACCACTCAATTTAGTCAGTCATCATAAATTTTTCTTACTTATGTATTAAGTGTTTTCTATTTTATTTAAATTGAGCTGCGATTAATAAGAAGAGTAATTAACCTTAGCTTAGTGCATAGTTTCCCAAAGTGGTCCCTACCACTACCCACTACCAGTGGGTGCTGAAGAGTCCTAGTAGGGACTTGGAAGCAATTGCAGAGCGTTGATGCTGTCGGGAGTGCTACTGTATTTTTAAAAAAACCTGAACTATGTAAACTACACTACATACATATACTTTTCTTTTCTTGTGATTTTTTGTGTTAATATAAAGAATACGGGTTTTCAATTATTTTTTGTGGCGATTTTTTATCTTGCCTAAGTGGGTGGTGAGCAAAAAAGTTTGAGAACCTATGGCTTAAAGGGATAATAACCCTAGTACAGACACCAGATTCTCACTATGTGTAAGCGTAATAAACCCTGTGAGCGTAATAAACTTGTCATTCATTCAACAACCAACTAGGGTTACACTCCACACTGTGGAGTCCACAGGACCATCTCCAAACTAAACGTATTTTATATGGGATATATCGACCTCTCCTATATAAAGTATCATATGTCGAAATTACCAAGTTTACAGGGGAGTTTTAAAATTTTGAATTCTCAATTTTATTTGGTAAAGCTCGTTGCTCACAGAGTATTATAAAATCCTAGATATTGGTTAGATGATCTATGACCATCCATTAGATGATCACTCTATGTGAGTAACGAGCTTTACCATATAAAATTGAGAATTCAAAATTTTAAAACTCCCCTGTAAACTTGGCAATTTCGACATACGATACCTTACGTAGGAGGGGTCGATATGCCTTCAGCAAACTTCTTACATACTGACAAAACTTCCACATAAAACACATGTTACACACTCATAGCCCCACACTACGGAAACCCTGTGTCGCTGGTGCCATGGACACACACTTAGACAACCACAAATTACGCCCAAACTCATGAGAGAAATAAATGTAGGCCATACAAATATTTGTCCCGACCCGGGATCGAACCCGGGACCTCTGCGTGGCAGACCAGGATGGTGACAGTTTAGTACACATGTGCACCTCTACTCATTTTTCATTAATGTAATATGATACAACTAATGGATGCACGTTGCGTCCGACCGGCTAGTCTGGCAATCTTTGGGAGAGGTCTATGTTCAGCAGTGGACGTCTTCCGGCTGATATGATGATGATGAACTAAGGTCATAAAATTACAGTCAACAGCATATTAAATTACACACTTTTGTTCAAATATCGCCTCTACACTGAACAAGACCCGTCAATGTGTAGCTTGAAGTGTTGCCATCTATACATATGATAAAAAATGACATGGTGAAAACGTAATACTATTGTATAATAACACGCCTTTTTTCTTTCGTTTTCCTAAAAGTTGTAATTATTTATTTTACATGTTGCCAGGTTCATCGAACACAATTGTAAAAGATTACGTCCTGCCAGACTACACAACCATCCGTCGTGGCTACCTTCGTGACATTGTAAAACCAGATGAAGAACTCGAACAACAAACTCTACGTCTTAACAACGAGCGGTTCACAATCCCTGAACTACTTTTCCACCCTTCAGACGTTGGAATCCCACAGATGGGCATACCAGAAGCGATTATGGACTCTATAAGCGCTTGCCCTGAAGAGCACACAGAAAATTTACTAGAAAACATTATCTTGTACGGGGGAAGCACACTTTTCCCCGGTTTTCGAGACCGTACATACAATGAAGTCCGAGCTTTAGCGTTAGATCACTATGATGTCAATGTGACCCTAGCAGAAAATCCAGTGACTTACCCATGGGAAGGAGGGAAATGCCTTTTTAGAGATCCGGACTTCTATTCATTCTGTGTTACAAAGGAGGAATATGAAGAGGAAGGAAAGTCTTTGGCTTTTGAGAGGTTCGACATTTAACAAAGGAAACGAGTGAGGCGATCTATGGAATAAGCCTTGCTCTTGAATAAATAAGTGTACCAGACAATCACAATAATTGCTGGCAAGTTAACTTAAGTCTTTCCAGTTTGGTGTTGCAAAACACTGGTGTTGTTAAACAAGTGATTTTACTAATTATCTGTGAACCGCTTGACAATGTTGTCATTTAAACCAGTTTCTACTAATCTGTTGCAATTTTGACAGGCAAAGTAATGTATTTATTTTTATTGAATATCATGATGATTTTTACTAACATAATATTTATAAATTTTATGTGAAAATACGAATATAATAGACATAAATTGCAACGCCACAACACATAGATACAAAAAGAATTCATAACACAGACAAGCAAAAGAAAATAAAAAGAATTAATAAACAAAAATACAATAAAACAAAAAGAAACATAAAATAACACAAAATAGGCAAAGAGCAATAAATAAAATATAACGACTATAAAATGTACTGTCATTTGTACGGTTGTGGCGTACGCAAAAGGACTTCATTCAGGATAAGCCACAGCCATAATTGACTGTGGTACAGGCCACTAGTTAGTTATTATTGTTGATACCGTGAACCAATAATTCAAGGTGACTACTAATCGCGGTACAAGACAGTGTAGTCGGGTATTTAGTACCTATTGGTTCACCAGATGTCGCGATGAGTACCAAAAGCTGTTTTTGTAATTTGTTATTTCTAGTGATAACAAACAAAGCAACTAGGTGGCGCTTATTACACATTTTTATGTATACTGCAGGCTATTCTTTTAAATTATTTAGGATTAGCGCCATCTACCTATATTAGGAAGCGTTAATTTATAAATTAGCTTGTAACACACAATGCCATCTATTGACACAAATATGTGTCAAAGTTTAGAAAATAATTTTAGCTCATGGGCAATGTCAACGACATACAATATCTTTTTTTGTTAAATACTTCTTTATTCCTTTGTCTTTTTTTTTTGTTTACTCTCAATTGTTTTTCTTCTTCAATATAAATCCTGCAGTAAATATATGACGCGGATTTTTACAGGCAATATTTGAATAATATTATTGAGGAATTAATTGTGACCGTCAAGACGGCTGGTCACCAGTGGAATCTGGCACTGAGTGTATATTCAAGAATTGCTACCTTTTCTAAATAATTGCTACCTTTGATATATTCAGAGAAATTTAAAAATATATTTGATCAGCCATTCTGATATCAGGATGGCTGGTCGTCACTTTGTTCAGCATGAAGAGAGTAAATTTTCCAGAATAATGTATTACCAATAATTGCTACCTATTTCCTACTTTCACGAATTATACGCTTCTTATCTACATTAGTTAAAAAAATATAATCGATTGAAAAATTCCCGCGGACCGGCCCAAGCGACATGACGTATGAGGTGCGTGCACGACGCGGGGAAGAGAACCCGCTCCCAGTCGAAGAGACGCAGCGCCAGTGCAACACAGACCGGCTCCACGCAACCCCGTATCCTGACCTGACCCAAAATCAACAGAAGTGTCGTTCATGGAGTTTGCTAGTATAATTTTACGTCTTAGTTTATGCCTAGTTATCAATATATTTTTAGATGTCGGGAATAAAGAAATTGGAAAACAATGTATTTTAGAATAGATGCAAGAACACAGCGCTAATGATTCAGTGCGACCATAGATTAGGTAACGTTCTTGAGCGTACATACCTACCTAAAGTATTGACATAAAGTAAAAAATAAAACACACTGACAAAAATGTTTAGACAATATTTAAATGAGAGATACGAGAGTAAGCATAGATCGTAACGTTTTCACAAGAGGTTGTAAATGTCAATGTCACTTTGAGACTGAGAATAGTGTGACCGTTTGGGCAGATAAAATTTTTGTTAATTTTCATTGCGACAGAACATGTTAACGTTGTGGTCCGGCCACAGAGGATCGCAGGAATCACCGCCAAGTTTGGATGCAGCCAACAGACGGATTATCATTAATAAATAAAACAATTGAGTAAATTAGTAAATTATTTTATTTTATTAGTGCAATAAGGCATACATCACATGTTTAGTACACTGTACGTTCGTACATCACACTATTTTATAATTGTAGAAAAACCCAGTCCCATGGAACCATTTAACATGAAGATTTTGAGATTGCAGCAGCTGGTTATAATAATGGACAACCACATCAATCTACGGGATATCCTGTGCTATGAGTACCAGACCAACGAAATTGTATCCGAGGCACCCGGTAATTTGAAATCGCACATCTAGTGCAGTTTTTTGTGAATTTTGACCATCCGTATAACTCTAGCTGTTGCCCAGTATACCGCGAGAAACCAAATTTAATTGTGATTTATCGCTTTTTATGTAACTCCTAGTATTAATATTCAAGTGAACAAAAATTTATGAAAACGACTCCGTAGTGTCAGCCTACCCCATTGGTCGAGATGATATTTAGGTATATGGTTTTCTCTACAATTACAAAGTACTTTAAAAACGCAGTAGCAGAATAATGCATTAACTTAAAAATATACTGAATTTAAAATACGTTCTACAAATTAGGAATTTGTGAACTTAGGAGATTGTAGATTTTAGTTTGGGAAATTAATTCTAAGGATCCTTTTGTAGTGGAAGGCTAAATGCCTACTAATCAGTCGAAGTTGCGACTATTTAATCGACAATGAGTACACATGGTTATTTGTAAACAACTAACAACCTTGCAGGACTATATTGAATTATCACTATCATCATAAACAATAACTTTTGTTCCAACTTTTCTTCAAATTTAAATGGGACCACTTCTGAGGTATACTCTTCCCAACAAAAAAACGAATCATCAAAATCGGTTCACAAACGCCGTGCCGTGTTATCGCGGAACATGTGTGTACATAAAAAACATAGTCGAATAGAGATACTTTTTTTGAAGTCTTAATAATAAATTTACCAAAAATAAACTTCCGTTTTTGTTGCACTATCCAGAACTGTATCTGGAGCTCTTATCTCGTTCTCCGTCCGAAGAAGAAGTACTGTTTAATACGTAATACTGCCGTCCACTTACTAAAATGCGGCTAAATGACAAATGGTCTAATAACAGTAAAAAAACGGTTAAAATTAGTTAATGTGTTCGACTTATCGGAACTTACCCTAACGATGCATAACTGAACTATCATTAAACAATTGCAATATTCTAAAACTGGGTTTTGGTTTTTTGTGACATTTCAAAAAATATTTTGTCACTTAAGCCGCGTTTTTAGTTAGCAGACGGCAGAATACTCGACCGAATTAGAAAAAACAAAGTAAAATATGAAGCTTCATTCTCATCGTGCGTCTTTTTGGAGTATTATTTATTTGAAAGTAATCAGTTTGAGAAAAAAATTGAGAACGAGTACAGGTTGCCTGGTTGTAAGTACAAACGTGCAAGCGTCCTACCCGACAATCCCCATCCGCGTTCCCTAGGTTTTGTTATCATCTTTTAGAGATCTATTTAAATATTTTTATTTTTGTACTAAAGTAAAATGTAATGAATTATTAAAAGTCACGTAACAAAAATTGTTGTTTATGTAGGAAATGAAAGTATTTTCCGGATTTAAATCGCGTATATTTGTTTTTTCATACAAACCAACGTTTCTAGCCCTTTACAGGTCCCATGGTCACGGTCAACCGTAGTTTCATTTCCCATGTGTAACAATCGCGAAAACATAAGAACTCGATTGCTGTTTATGATTTTAGTAAATTGTTCCAAGAGGTTGTTAGCACTCATATTTTACAAATAACCTTGTATGTATTCAGACTTTGTTCCATAAAATATGACCAAATACCGACTATTTAGCCTGATGCATTTTGTTTACAGGCCACAAAACAACTAAAGAAAATATACTATTTCGACGAGTGTCGGGAATTTATTTAGGGAAATAATAAAGGTTCCGAAAAACAAATGAAAATGCCAAGTCCGAAAGTTTTAGTAGCAGCAGAGTTCGTCTAGGGAAGTACTGCCTCTTACCTATTTCTGCCGCCAAGCAGTAATGTTAACATTGCTGCGTTCCGGTTTTGGTGAAATTACAGACACATGGGACTTGTCAACTTAAATGTCTCAGGGTGACGGGCGCAGTGGCACTGCAACTGTTATGGACATCGTATCACTTACCACCAGGCGTACGACTTGTTCGTCCCGTCACTTAATATATTTTTTTAAACATTTGTTTATATCGATAACGTGCGTACGTCACTGAGTCCGCAGCGAGTAAATAATCTTCCTATAACAACAGTTTTCGGTAAAATCGACGAAGAAGGTAGAGTGGATTCGCTCTGGGCCTTTTGGATGGAAGTGTCGTTTTTATTTTGACTTTCAATTATTATGTGAAATCTAGTTTAAAGTGGAGTAAGATAGTGCTATCGTACCTTAATCGAAGATTAAAACGCGAAATTATACGAATCTCGAACTAAAATACCCGTATCGGCCCATTCTAAGAAATCCCGAGTCAATTGAAAAACACGCCACCTCAAATTGCCTATCCTCTTTGTGGCGGCCATATTTACAGAAATATAATTAAACGAAGACATGGCTCAAAGGACTTGTATCCAAGCTAAATTATTAATTAAAAAAAATAAGGTAAGAGTTTATTGGCATTAAAGTTTTCGGTAGCTTAGTAAATAACGCAGTAATTATTAATTTGAATAAGCTCATTTTGAATTTAATTTTCGGAGCTTTTATTACCACCCTTTAATTTACAGCTAGCGTCTAACAATAGTTTAATTAGTCGATGGCGAATGTCCCATGTCGACAATCACCAACTGTACACTTGTTTACCCAAACAGATTATTTAGTGGAAACTGGCTACATTAACAGACTTTAGCCGACGTTGGCTACCCAAACGAACTATTTAGCCGGGGTTGGCAATCAAAACCGACTATTTAGTCGAAGTTGGCGACTAAAACTGACTATTTAGCTCAGGTTGGTGACCAAAATCGACTATTTAGTGAAGTTGGCGACCAAAACCGACTATTTAGTCGAAGTTGACAACCCAAACATTAGTCGATAGAGTCAGCCGGTGAGCGCACATCATCGATCTTGAGGATCATCTTGACGAGTTGTGTGGCTAGCGCGATCTGTTGCCTCTTGGAGTGAAGGGACTCGATCACGTTCAGAGCTTTCATATCATTTGAACCTGCAAAGAACGTGAACTTTAAAACAACGTGGCTATACATTAAACTATAGTCTGTATTTTTTGAAGACGGAGTAAAAATGACATTTGCAGGGTTGCAAGTTTTCATACAATTTTAAATAGTCATGTAGTTGTTGTCGATAAATTGTGAAAAATAAAATTTTGCCAAAAACTACTGAATTGTTAATGTTACGACGTTCTAATGATTACTAATTGCGTTATTGCATTCTTTATTCCTATTTCAATAGGAATGAAGTCAACACTTGGCCTACTACTAGCGAAAATTTTTTATTTATTATAAATATATATACATTTTAACAAGAATAGCCAGATTTGATTATCTATAATGAAAAACTTTAAAATATGTCTCCTCTTTGTAGATTTCAAAAACATAGTTCTAAATACAGTGTATGTATGAACTTACAAAAATTGATAATTCAAATGAACACTAGTTCATTTGAATTATCAATTTTTGTAAGTACTTTTGGAGGGAAAAGTGTCGTTTTTATTTTGACTTTCAATTATTATGTGACATCTAGTTTAAAGTGGAGTAGAATCGAAGATTAAAACGCGAAATTATACGAATCTCGAACTAAAATACCCGTATCGGCCCATTCTAAGGAATCCCGAGTGAATCCAAGCACGTCACCTCAAATTGCCTATCCTCTTTGTGGTGGCCATATTTACAGAAACATAATTAAACGAAGACATGGCTCAAAGGACTTGTATCCAAGCCAAAATTATTAATAAAAAAAAATAAGGTAGGAGTTTATTGGCATCAAATGAACTAGTGCTCTATAATTGTGTGAATAATGGGACGAGGATGATTCAAATGAAACAAGTTTAGCTATTTATTCCATAAGCGTGACCAATATTCAATCGTAGTCGATAGAGTATTTATCGACTGCAATCACTAGCTGCTTGCAAGCGGGCAATACTTTTGCGCAATAAACTATCATTTTACTCCGTCTTAAAAAAAGACAGAATATAGTTTGGCTACAGGGACGGCATTTTTACCATAGCGCCACCTGTGAGAACTTATCCAAGTTTCTGCACTCAGCCAAGTATCTTTATAGCTACCAGAAAAAACACTGTCAGAGACGTCGCTATACCACTTAATTGCAATTTTCTTTTATTGAATATTATTATTAATGCTGAGTATTTTCACATGATTTATGGTAATTGGTATGTTTTGTCTGTGAGAGAGTAGTCACTAAAACAAACGTAGGCGAGCTTTAAAAAAAGCAACCAATAAAATAAAGCTTTCTGTGAAATAGTATGGCAAGTATATCACACGCAATGCGATAAACCTCCTCGTGACATATTTATTTCAGTTGATAAAGCTATGTTGCCATTATTAATTTTTTTATTGCGAATACTGAATTAGTAAGATACTCCACAAGAGTCCTCAGTTCTTTTATTTGGTAATTAACTATTTATTATTCTTTTAATTGGTAGATAACGATATGAAACTGCGTACAGAGATATCTTTGTGGTTTTATCGCTCGAATTTGACACCTAAATGTGAATATAATAGCTTTATCGCGGCGGCACGCTTACGGGGGCTCGAAATATTTAATATAAAAACATTAAAATAACATATAGTTCTGAAGTGTAGTTAGTGGTATAGTGGTTACTTGTTATTTACTTGTCTGTTATATCGACTGTGAACTGACAATCGGTACTATCACAATTTTGACAACTTTACAGGAGGCGAAAAAAATTGTTTGCGTCATTTACATAGCGTCTGACTTATTAAATAAAAATACGTAGTTTTTAAATATTTTTATTACACATACACTACGTATTTTTATTTAATAAGTCAGAATGCTAAACAGGCTGTATATTTGAAAGTGAGACATATTCATGCATGTCATAGTTAAACGTTAGAAGTTAAAAGTTAGTTAGTTAGTTAAAAGTTAGGTATAAACCATGTTACAACTTAACATAGACTAAAATAAAATTAGGATATGGGATAGAACAAAAAATAAATCAACAAATTTGTTTTGGAGTGTACATAGGAATAAACCGATTTCCTTTACGCTTGGTTTTAGGTGCATTGGGAATACTACCAAGCGAGTGCCGAGTGAGACAGCAACAATAACAATGATTTCACATCTCTCTCGCCTGCTCATTTATGTTACGATGAAAAAGCTGTTATCGAAATGATTACGTTTTAGCTTTTGTTAATTATTTTTTACTTATGAACTATCATCGAAATGTTTTACGTACTAAAAAAGATAATTTAATTTATCATTTAATAAGAATTGAGGTTTTTGGCGTAGTTAAAAATGTGAAATCAAATTATTTACAATGATTGATTTTTTAGTTATTTACAGTTTATTTACACTTACGTGGTACGGGTATACGGATAATGCATAGTCTAGCACGTCGTAGTAAATTTTGTTTTAAATTGATCAACACAAACACATTTTGTCTCACAGTATGCTGAGATAATCCTCTCATATAACAACTTCGACACTGTTCAACTCCTCCGCGTAAACTCCAATTTGGGAACATTTCAATAGCTCGCCTCACACTACCACCAGTTATTGCGTAAAGTCGCACCATCTCAGTCTATTCGACGTTATAATAAATATTTATTTTGCAGGCAAGAGGCGCGTTCGCCGCCGGCGCAGTGTTCGGGTGAGCGGAAGTACAAATAAGGCTAAGGGCGCGCGTGCACTGTCTCTGCAAACACTGCCGACCTGTGCTTTGTTCTCACCGCTGCGTCCGTCGGAGCAATAATAGTGGTGTGCAAAGATTTCGATAAGTAATGTTGTTCACAAGTAGTAGTCGATAAAAAAATAAAACAATATTTTTTTGTAAAGTTTAAGTTCGTTAGTTTATTCTTTTTTTGGGTTCAGAATCAGGAATATAACGCACTCTATAAGTATGTCTCACTTTCAAATATACAGCCTGTATAAATGACGCAAACAAGTTTTTTCTTCAACATGTAAAGTTGTCAAAATTGAGATAGTACTGGTTGCCAGTTCATAGTTGTTATATCATTTGTAAAATAAAAACCCATTTATTTCAGATATTTTGCAATTTCAAAAATATTACAAGCCTTAGAATATCAGTATTTTCAGGAACCGGTACCACTATCTTCCTATTGTACCACTGCTGGTGCAAATTATTATCTGTGTAAGATAAAGATAAATCTGTTTCATTATAATATAATATACAAGTAAAACCAATTTAAAGGAAGCTATTTTAATTTTAAAAACCCTGTATCGTTGCTGTAGCAAGGATAGTGGTACCCAATTTCTGAGCAACAGTGTTGCCGGACGTGGAATATTAGTGCCTGTTTTGCGGTAAAAAATAAGAGAGTAAATTACCTTTGCCCATGCAGTCAATGCCGAGGTTGGGGTTCTTATCAGCTACCTGGCGCGCTTTTACGTCTGAGAGGGTGTCGATTGGTGACAGACCGCTGTAACAATGTTTATATTTAGTCCAGTAATTTTTTTTTTATATATAACAGGCAAATGACTCCACTCCACCTGATGTTAAGTGCAAAGTGGTATCCAAACGCGAAGGAACCTAGTGCAGCGATGAAACCCTCACTGCACTAGCCACCTCCACCCTGTCTGCCTACAATATGCCTCTTCACGCCTGTAATTCGGCCTGCTCAGCATTTTGTCTTTTGCCACGTGACGGGCGCAGTGGTATGCACGACTTGTTCATCCTGTCTCTTCTTAGTATCTGTACGGTGTTCTATACACTTATAAATGATAGTATGATAACACTTAAGTAGCAGTAGAGCTTATGACATATTTCGTCCAGGGAAGTACCTACTACCTTATACCTATGTTTCAGGGTGACAGGCGCAGTGGCAGTGCCCCACAGATCTTTGCGATTTAAATCATGGATAGGCGTGTCGCTATAACTACGCAGACTTGTTCGTCCCGTCATTTTGTATCACAAAAAAAATGAACGAATGATTGTGACCTAAAAATAAGCTATAAACGTCGCATGAATACGTGGAATGCTGCATAAACACAATGTACGGTATTGCACCATATAGTAAAACAAAAAATAACTTTGAGATATTCGCATTTTTTAATTTGTATTTAATAATTGATATTCAATTATTTTTTTGTGACATTACTACACTACTTTGTTATAATAATTGTTAATAAAAAGATCGAGAACTTATTAAAAATTCCTTCGATACGGCCGGATTCGAACCGACGTTTTACAGACACTAAGCCACGGAACAAACCAGCGGACCTCATGAATTTTTTTATATGCTTGTTGTTGGATGTTTGTATTTGGCTTTACAACGACTTTTTAGCCGTAATGCCATCTATGAGAAATCTATGAAAGCATTTTGTCACTCAGACCTCTACAGCTACCAGCCCTGGCTAGAGATATCGCTATTGACTTTGAATTAAATTTGTATTGAATTGATATTCAATAACTTTTTTGTGAAATTACTACACTGCTTCGTTATAGTTATTAATACAAAGATCGAACACTTCATTGACTTACAAATAAATGGACGACGGGTCTAATACAAAAACCACGAAAAAAAATGTCTCAAGTCAACCTATTCGAAATTTAAATTGTAATGTCATCGCAGTATCGCGCTGTCAGTAGAACAAATTAAGACTAAAGCGGAGTTTGGCGCTCTGTATACGATTTTAGCGCCTTACAAGTGCGGACACTTTTTAGCGCGGACCCGACGTCCATATAATTGTAAGTCAATGGAACACTTAGAAAAAAATCCTTTTTTGGAGTAATTTCACAAACAATAATTGAATATTAATTCAATAAAAATTTCATTTTAAGACTAAGAGAAAGTTTTCACGCGACCGCCCAGTTACCACGCCTTCATGTACACTAATGGCGAATCTGAATTCTATTTACTAAGCAACAACATTTAAATTCCTCTGAATACTACCGCCGCGAAGACCAAATTCATGCCAGACTCGCCCGTGTGCCCGGGACGCTCATTTAAGTTAAAACGTAAAAACTAAATCGACCCCTCCTACGTAAAGCATCGTATGTCGAAATTGCCAAGTTTACAGGGAAGCGTTTTAAAGATCTGAATTCACAACACGTGAATTTAGCATTTTCTCAGTTTTTTTCGAGGACAAGTTTTAAAGTAACGAGCTTTGGGGTCGAAATGCGCCCTTAGGTGTACCTGTTCTCGGCGAGCGCCAGCGGGACTGCCTCCAAGGCGTCGGCGAAGGCCCCGAAGGCGTACTGGTCGAGGGAGGCCACCTTGGCCGCCGAACGTGCCACGGCCAGCGCGCACGACACCTCGGCCGCGCCGCCGCCGTACACCACACGCGAGTCCTGCAACCGACAAACCGGGACCGGTTAGGTCATTGGCTCACCGCCTACTTAGGCAAGATAAATAGTAGATTGTACAACGAGTGCATAAAACGCGGCATTTTACCCGAGACGAGTAAATCCTGGATATGGATACTTAAGTCGATGGTAAAATGGGTTTTATGAACGAGTTATACACTCTGCTTTTCACTTCGTTTGCGAGAAAATTAAACAATAATATGACAAATAAACGATTATTTAATTAAAACTGAATGTAAAATTACAACAATTAGGCATATTTAATGTGATGGTTTTTTTATTTTATGCACTAGACCATAAAATCCTATTTTATGCAGCCTACACCCAGCATAAATACGAACTCTAAGAACATGAGAAGTGAAAAAAATTGTAACGTCCACCATTACAAAAAATAATTCCAAACACGTATTTTTATATTAACTTAACACAAAAAAATCACATGAAAAAAAATTATATACAATTATGTTCCTTAGGGTCGTATTCTAGAACTCTATTCAATGCTCAAGTCAGGATTGCACTGGCAACACAAGCACTGGAACTACGACCCTAATGGCAAGGACTTGGGTATGATTTCTAGTGCTTTGAATCATACTCAAGTCCTGACTTGAGCATTGAGTAGAGTTCTAGAATACGACCCTTAAAGCCGGAAGGGCTTTTGTGAGCAAAGCTTGTAATTAGTAAATAAGTATATTTTTCTGTATTTTGATCAATAAAAAAAATGTAGTGTAATTTATATGGATAATTCAGGTTTTTTTTCTCAAATACGGTAGCACCCTTGCACCACACAATTAATAATAATAATAACGCACACACTCAACATAGGCCCGCTAGGGAAACCCTGAGTCGCGAGTGCCATGGACACATACATAGACAACTACAAATTACACCCAAACTCATGAGAGAAATAAATGTAGGCCATACAAATATTTCGCCCGGCCGGGAATCGAACCTGGGACTTCTGCGTGGCTTGGTAAACTTTCGGCCACGGAGGCAAATTATCAACTTTATTTTCTACCCAAGATGGGTTATTAAAACTAAAATAACAGGCACCTATTTTGAAAAGTAGCTGTCATGTGACTCACTCAACCAAAACATCCGTTTCTAAAATTGTTAGGGTGTGTCGAAAGGGTCAATAGTTAAGAGTCGATAGTACCTCAGATAGAATTCCATTTTGTCCTGTACTAATAATAATAATAACTCATTTATTTCAAGTCACATCGAGGGCTGAATGCACCAGGGACACTATTATAGATAGTCGCGTAAATACGATCCATTTTCCTTGGGTCGAGCGACAGGGACACTGGCTTAAAAATGTATATCGTATAGTATACGTGTTCTGTTTAGTTCAATTGATATTTTAAAAAACCATTGATATATGTAAAGTACCTATTGAATACGGCGATTTTCTTGTAAAATTACAAGGTTTTTTTTTTCTACAGTAAAATGTTTTAGGAAACTAAAAATTGTTTGTTTTCACACCGTATGGTAATCAGTGTATCCTCTATTTTACTATATATTTTTTCCAAAGCATTTGATTCAACACTTCACTGTTATGCGGAGTCAACCAAAGCCATTTGAGTGTACACTCTTAACCATGCACTTTCAACTTTGCATACTATTGCCACATGACGACAATAAAACGCCAGTCGCATAACTGATGACTATAAAATGCCACAACTATACTAGACTCATGATAATAAAATACCACAACTATACTAGATCATGACAATGAATGAATAGATGCCCCGGCTGCGGGAACTGAGCTAGGTTAGCTTCGTTCGTGGTGTGGCCTGAGCTTAGTGAAGATAAAATGTCACACTTGTACAAGATTCATGACGATTAAAGCCTCACCTGGACTAGACTCCGGACGATGCAGAGTGCGTCGTGCACAGAACGCTTGGCCTCGTCCACGATCATGCGATTGCCTCCCCGCACGAGCACTGTAACGGCGCGCGAGTTGCTGCACTGTTCTATTACAAGCATTTCTTCTTTTGAAGTGCCGAACGCTGAAAAACAATACCGTTTTACTAGAAAATTTACCACAATTTGAGTGTTTTTCAAAGTACTATAATTTGTCTTTTTAACCGACTACAAAAAAGGAGGTTCTCAATTGGACTTTCGTTTTGTATGTACGTTACGCGATTACGCTGGCATTTGTGAACCGATTTTGATGACTCGTTTTTATTGGAAAGAGGATACCTCAGTATTGGAATCAGTATTAAATTTGAAGAAAATATTCCACCTCTAAGCGTGGCAAACGAGGGGATGTATCGGGTTTCACGTACTTTCCGGTAATCGATTCCAATAAAATTTGGCAAATAGATGTAATTCCACGAACTTTTGAGGTCGCTTTTTTTATAAAAAGGTGTATTTGAACATGGAGTAAAATGACAGTTCATAGCACAAAAGTGTTGCCCACTTGCAAGCAGCTAGTGATTGCAGACGATAAATATTCTATCGACTATCGACGGAATGTTGATTACGCTTATAGAATAAATAGACAACCTTGTCTAATTTGAATCATCATCGGCTCATTATTCGTTTAGCTGCTGGGCACCGGTTTTTTTTATAGGTAATATCAAGTAACGGGACGAACAAATGGTGCGCCTGATGGTAAGCTACACGCCTGTCCATAACAGTTGCAGTGCCACTCAGAGCTTTAAATCGCAAAGATCTGAGGTGCACTGTCACTGCGCCCGTCACCCCGAGACGTAAGTTGACAAGTCCCAGGTGCCTGTAATTTCAACAGTACCCTGCAAAACCGGAACACAGTAACGCTAATGTAAGTTAGGTAAGCTGGTTCACCTGAATTGTCATTTTTTGTAAGTTTACACATACATATACTGCATTTAGAACTATGTCTACTAAAATATATAAAGAGGAGACATATTTTAAAGATTTTTACTTAATTTAATATAGATAATCAAATCTGCCTGTTCTTATTGAAATGTATACGAGTGAAAATCGATTTCGATACTAGTAGGCCCACTGTCAAAATAGAATAAAGAAGGCAATAACGCAATTAGTGATCGTTAGAACGTCGTAACATTCTTTAAACAATATGTCGATAAAACTGTCGACAACGCCTACATGACTATTTGAAATTTTATGAAAACTGGCAACCCTACAAATGTCATTTTATTTCGTGTTCAAAAAAGACTGTCTATAGCGTCAGTGCCTTAATTACCATATCACAAATAATATGGTCGCGTTGTAGTGTCAACTGTTCCTTTTTCTCATAACTTTTCGAGGAAGTAATACACGGAGTAAATAATACCTCACACTAAAAACCGGAACTATTGTAATGTATTTTTGATGTGTAGCGTCAAGTAATTTTTCGGCAAATTTCAAATATAGTAGCAATTTTTCAGGAAAAATTTTAAACAGTTGGAATTAGATATATCTTTTAATATTTTATCTAGCATGAATTATAAAATTTAAATGTATGTATAAACATGCATTTTTTAAACCCTGCTTGGCTTATATTTACAAATTCTCATAACAGAGTTTAGTGTCTTCGACTTTTGGCTGTTGTCACTGTGAAATATGGAAAAATATTAAAAACAAAATATTTTTCCGAAAATTTATTTCTTCAAAATTGACATTTTTCCATGAGCCAACACTATGTGTAACTAACAATCTATAACTACATGATAGTGTGTTTAGAAGACAAGTTTTGTAATAATAAGATTTTTGAGATTTCAGAGGTATTATCCACTGTATATGTATTCCTATCTCTGGTCATAATACCAATTATTTTTTCAAACTCAAACTCAAAATAATCTTTATTTCATAGGTAAGCATTATTACACTTGAAATCGTCACAATGGTTAAACTCTACCGCTCATTCGTAAGGCAGATTCCCCTGAGAAGAATGAGCAAGAAACTCTAGGGGTTGCTCTTTGTAAATAGCATTTACAATATTTTTTTATTTTTATTTGAAACATCAGAGATCGAGACTACCTCCATGAGCTAAACGGGTTACTACCACGGATTTTTGTCATCCAAGTACGCAGAAGTTGTATAATAACCTTTAGTATAAAGTTTTTGTTTCACTATAGTTTTAAACCTCGAGAAAGGCAAATTTTGTATATCAACCGGAATCTTGTTATAGAAGCTTATACATTGCCCCTTAAATGATTTTTTGACTTTGTGAAGACGACTATCAAGAAAAGCTAGTTTATTTCTATTCCTCGTATTAATGTTATGTCTGTCACTATTTTTCATAAATAAATTACTATTCCTTTTAACATAAATTACATTCTCATAAATGTACTGTGAGGCTAGTGTAAGAATGTTAATTTCCTTAAACTTATCTCTCAAAGATACTTTGGGGCCCAGATTGTAAATTGCCCTAACTGCACGTTTCTGCAGGACAAAGATCCTATTGATATCGGCGGCATTACCCCAAAGCAAAATGCCGTATGTCATTAGACAAAAGAATTTATTAAGAATTTATTTCGGTAAAGTCTGTCCCAAGTTTGATTCTCGGTAGCAACAAGCGCCCATAGCACCTAGTTAGTCTATTTTATCCCTAAGTTAATACTCACTGAGTTCCCTGACGAGTCCACACGAGCCCAGCTTTTCTGGAGTCAACTCCTCGAACCGCGGTACGATTCTGCCGCCAGTCGCAATGGCGATAAGCTCCATCTCCGGCCCCCCCACCCAGCGCACGGCGGGCAAGTTTTCGGACAAGAGAAGATGGTTCGCTTCATCGTCGAAGCCCCATTGACAGATTGCCAGAGTAGCTCCAGTATCCTAAAAATGTCCTTTGTTTTGTAATAAATGTTTCCTCAGAAGTTCCCAATAAGCTAGTGTCTGATGGTCTAAAACGTGAAACACACTGAAAGCGGGTGCGGGTCGGGCGCGTGTCGGGTCGAAACCGAGGCGGGTGTAATTCCGTGTATTTATATGGATGACAACACACCACGAGCGGGCGCGGGACCCGACTCGCACCCGGCCCGCGCCCGAGCATTGTGTTGCATCTATTTAAAGTACCGGCACGCTATGATGTCCGTTTTGACGTTTGTCCGCTTATCAAGTTTCGAAATAATTCATATCTACGTTGAAGAAGCTAATACACGGGCACATATATTGTTGCCAATAGTGACGTGCACTCATCGAGTATATAATCAGAAATATAGACGAAATAAGGGCCATATATTCCTGCTAACACATTAGCGATACAGCTCTTATAAATATCAATTCCCGTTTGCACTGAAATATAGACAGGCCAACTACTGACCTGTGTGTATGTCTCCGTATATTCCAAAAAACATTCTATATATATTGTAATAAAGATAATATCTCTAACAATGGGGGCTGTTCCATTCGGTCGTGTGGGAAAAACTGCAAAACATCTAATTACAAAACAAACGGAATCACATTTCATCGGTAATTAAATATGTAATTTTGCAATTTTCGTCCATTATAGCAACGCTCAAGTTAATTGGTCGATTTGAAGTGAAACAGTTGACGACACCCGTCAATTGTTTCGAACTCTTGCTAGCCAATCGGAGCGCAGTTGAAAGTAATGATATGGCAGAATAGTTTTCAAACAAATTAAATGACATTTCGTCTCTATTTCTGGTTATATACTCGATGCGTGCAGTAAAATTTATGGAGGTATAATTTTACGACACAAAAATGTTGTTCGAAAGTTGAAGTTTAAAAAAATGAAATCTATCACTTATGGGATCGCTGGCCAGCACAACTTCTACCTCCGGCAAAGTAGGTAAAGCTCAATGCAAAACAAATTCGAATTCGAATTGACGATATATTAAGTAAACATTTTTATTTTCGTTTTATTGCAACTTATTAATCAGCTACCCCTTGCCATACTAGTTACAATCCAAAAACTTAAAAGATGCGACTCGAATTTGATTATATTTCTTTCAATAATGAATTGAGATTTGACCTCACCATTGCAATCTGTCAAAATGGCCATCATAGCGTACAGGTACTGTACATATTATTTTTGTAGGAAAGTAAAATGTGACAAATAATTAAAAGTAATGGAACAAAAGTTGTTGTTTATGATGTTATTAATACAGTCTTGCTAGGTTGTTAGTATTTTACAAATTTATTAGTATTTTTTTCGTTAGTATGTTATTGTATCACTGAAAAATAAAGTCACGACTCACTGAAAGCTCAAGTCGATCTCAATTATTAACTAACTATGAAGTATAATAATTTAATAATTACTTTTTAAATCTCTTCGCTACACACTGGGTTTCCTGTTCTGGGGTTATCCATAGTGGGAAAATCGAGAATAGGGTACCTTAACTTGAAACAAGCATTTTCTCAAGCCGCAGTCCCGGGCCATCACATACCTTAACACGTTTCACCATCTCCAAGAACTTGTCCTGTTCGTACTGCCTCAGCTCGCGGTACTCCTCGGTAGAGCCAACATGAAGCTTATGCTTGGTCTTTGGCTTTGGGGGCTCGAACGGGCAAGTCAAGATGGCGAGTTTAACATCCTGCAATATAATAAATAAATATTAGACACATCTCATACATTGCTCTGATTGCTAGTGCATGCGAGTTTTAGCGAGTGCTTGAGAATGTTTGCGAGTGCCTGTAATAAATAAGAGATTTTAGTTTCATCATACATAGTTTACGTTTTTAAGATTTTTTGCTTAATTAAATATATACTGTACTACACATACACTATTAACTTTGAATATTAATAGTTACTATAACATATGCACGCACGTATTCGCATGCGCATGCAGGCACTAGCAGACACTGGCAGGCACTCACAGGCACTCGCAAGCACCCGCACGCACTCGGAGTAAATAATGGTATTAATAATGATTATGATTACTTTAATTTCCTAAAAGTCAATTGTATCGAAATTTCGAAATGTAATATTTTCTTTTACAAAAGAAACTCTCCTCTTTATTCTGTTTAGACAAAGATAAATAGCCATACATGGCACAATTCACGACCATCATAATAATAGTAAAGTACAGGGTCAAGAGCACGTCAAGCTTGTCACTTAAGATTTAAATCCAACTCTATGCCGCTTACGATAAGAACGGTTCAAAGTACAAAGTATCAAGCTTGACGTGCTCTTGACTGTACGTTCGTAATAAATAAATTGAAACAGTTTAAACATCAACGTGTTGGCCTTAGCGAATGGCTCGCTGACAGCCTTATTGCTGTCCCTTAAATGTGATCGTCATCCCTATAGCTAGGGAGGGACCGAAAGTGACCATTCTCGTTACTTTTTATTCTCTGCTTTGGTAAAAGGTCAGTTATCTACTGCATTTTTTTACATGGCACCATTAGAATTAGTTTAAAATCCAACTTCGACTTCCTGGGTCAGTAGTTTTGTCCTACGATGCAGTAAAACCATTTCCAGAAATCCGGAATTCGAAAAAGTAATTAATTAATATTTGGTTTTAACAACTTTATGTCACTCCTTGTAGCTATATCTATACATGTATCTACAGGTTTGGAACACTATTCCGACCTTTTGTTATAACTTATAATTTTCAGATTTTATTTATTGATTTAAAAATACCAATAATTATTATTTTGCGAAAATATTGATTCAATCATTGTTTATCGTTTTTATTATACAAACATTCTACATAACTACATTTTAGATTTTTTTTCCAGTTATAGTCTAATTGTCTGTTAAGCATGGCAGTTGCATGATGGAAAATAATGTGTTTTTTTTTTCAATTTGTTTTAAAAAAATATTAGCAATTTTTGTCATAAATACCTTAAGCACTTTGGGCATCTGCGGGTGACTCAAAGTCTTGTCAACGACTACGCCTCGCACCAACATGGAGTCTTCCATGCGCCCGCCAACTTTGCCTTCCACTTTGATGAGCTCGAAGTTTACGTCACGCTTTTCCAGATCTGCCACCGATAGCACTGCCTGCAGGTGGATAACACTTTTAGGGGATTGTATGCTACATAAATTACTAGTATATTCTACATATTTCTCCAACATTGCCACACCTGATATTATAATCAACAAATAAATATGAGACATGATAGTAATTTTGAAATAACTTTGATAATGGAGACCCAACTTAAGTCAGGAAAAGAAAAGCTGTAACTGTACACTGCAACAACTTATTTTTGATATGGCAAAATAGAGGACACCTAATGCTGTACAATGCCACCAACTAGTTGGTGATAAATGGCAAAATAGTAAGAGTTAACACTGTAGAATACCACTACTAATTTGTGATACGGCCAAATAGAAACAACAAACACTGTACAGTACTATTTACACAATAGTAGCTTTTTTCTAATTGCAAGGTACATACATGCATGCTTGCTTAAGGGGACAATATGACGCAAATTTTGACATGGGCCTGGATCCTAATCTCTAACAATCAGCATGACTTGTTAAATCCTAATTCATTTTCAGAAACAATCTATTAATACAAAGATCGAACACTTAGAAAAAAATCCTTCGATCTGGATTCGAACCGACGTCTTCTTGCAAACCGTGCCAGTCGCTATGCCAACTAAGCCACGAAACGAACCAGCGGACCTCACGAATTTTTCTATGTGCTTGTTGTCGTAACTTTGGTTTCTTATTTGGTTTTTATCGATTTTTCAGAAACAACTAATGAAGAAGAAACACAGAGAATGGGTTTTGAAATCAAAATGGCTGACTTTCTCTAGGTAATGCACTTTATTTGGTTTTTCATCGACTTTTCAGAAACAACTAATGAAGAAGAAACAGAAAATGGGTTTTGAAATCAAAATGGTTGACTTTCTCTAGGTAATGCACTTTTTTAAAAGTACTCTTCACAGCTTTTATTATGCAGTGGATATTAAGATGATGAAGATAATAGAAGTGTTCCTCGCGCTTCGACAGAGTCGTGACATTGTTAGCAGGTACGATCGGAGACACATTTCGGCCGAGTCGCCACGCAGTGTAATTGTCGACACTGAACTGTCCTACGTTGCGCCTAGGGCCTATTTTGATCGTTAAAATTAATAGAAAGTACAAGTTGTTATTCAATTTTTTATATATAACATCAAGTAACGGGACGAATAACTCGTGCGCCTGATGGTAAGCTACACGCCTGTCCATAACAGTTTCAGAGCTTTAAATTGCAAACATCTGAGTGGCACTGCCACTGCGCCCGTCACCCTGGGACATAAGTTAACAAGTCCCATGTGCCTGTAATTTCACCAGCACCCTTACCCTTCAAAACCGGAACACAGTAATGCTGACATTACTGCTTGGCGGCAGAAATAGGTAAGGTGGCAGCCTACTACTACCCTGGACGAACTCTTTCACAAGGAGCTATACTTCTACTAAATTACAATACTAACTACATGGCACAATCCCTAAATCTGCCCAAACAATGTCTGAAGATTCAGTTCTAAGCCATGACGGTTCCGACAAGTTATAACAATTTGATAAAATACTTACATCAACAGCAATCTCAGCCATAAGCCTATGGCACTTAACAACCACCTTGCTTCCCAATGTTGTCATTGCAACTTTAATGAGATGCTCTCTAGTATCTTTATTAACAGGGAAGGCCTCACTGATGGAGTCAAGATGTTCTAAGGCACTTGCTGCAGCCATTTCAAAGCCATCAGCAATACGGATTGGATGGATGCCTTTGTCTAGGAGGTTAGAGGCCTGCTCCAGTAGGGCACCTGGAATACAAATATTTGCTTTTTATAAAGAACCTTACGATAACTCAGTTGTCGATCGATTCTATTTGATATCGTACGATTTCTTCTCATTTTTATTCACAACACCCGAATCGAACGCCAAACTATCGTATTCGAAACCGTACCGAAATGACGTCACACCCGTACGATTACTAGAACTTCTCGACCGGCAAAGTCTGCAAACGTTATTCAGAACACAATTATCGAATGAAAGTTACCAAACATCCTATTGTTTATAAAGTAAGAATGTAGTATGGAAATGTCTTATTATTTCAAATAGTCTGGATTTTGTTCTATTTTATTAATTTATTTTAATGCAAGACTAATTCACTCCTATATTTTAAAGTCGAATTTTTCTATTTCACCAATGTCGTATCTGGATCCGAATCAAATGTTTATTAATGTTCTGAATAGCTCAGTGATCAACCTTCGATTTGAGAACAATATCCAATGGAACAGTTGGGTTAAAATATCGAAGAGTTCTGAATTGGGGTCCTGAAAAGTGCGTTTGCTGTGTTCATTACCACAGTCTCCTCAACTATAACTGAAACGCAATTGGAAGTCCTCATCTAAACGGATCATTTGACCCCAAACACAAGGTAGCTGCTTTACACTTTTGAGAAGTATTACCTTCACTAGATCAGCTCTTGGTCATCATAACTTTTTATAGAATTGCATCTATTTGCCAAGTTTTATTGAAATGTGGATAAATTTAATACACTGGATTCATCCCTTAATTTGTCACCGTTAGAAGTGGAATATTTTCTTCAAATATGAATATGACCGCTACTGTGGTGAAGTACGTGTCACGCACTGCTTAAGCATGTCCTGTTAGATTGTAATGTAAGCTCCGTAGCCTCTGCAGCCTCCACACATCTTGCTTAGTGCGTTTAAGTTCACAATTCAAAAGGAAAAAGAAATAGTGGAAATAAATACAGTTTTATAAAAAATATTTTAAAGTTTTTTGTGATCTTTTAAATGTTTATAGCACAAAAGATTTTTAGTAACGGTAAATAGGTCAAAATTGGACGAGAAGTCGGGCTCGCTTCGGCAATTGAGCAGAAAGTGACGACGTAAGGAAGATAAAATGAGAATGACGAGGCAAAGGAATTAAAAAACGATTCCAAATATGAAAACTAATGGCCAGGAACTGGAGAAAAGGTGATAAGAAGGCGGAATGACGATGGAAGGAGGTAGCACCGCCCTTGCCAACAAACAGAATTGTTGAAATAGTTCATAAACGTTGTAGTAATTGGGTAACATACAAAAAAAGTAATGTACATTGAGATACTACACCTCCTTTTTTTGCTGAATTTGTAATTCCAGGCTTAGTTACAGAAAAATCCACCTACCGGCCAAAACAACAACACCAGTAGTCCCATCACCAATCTCATCATCCTGACTCTGAGCCAACTGCACCATTAACTTTCCAATCTGATGTTCTACATCCATCATCTTCAGGATTGTGGCTCCATCATTTGTCACTGTCACCTCTCCATCTGATGTCACCATCATTTTGTCCAAACCCCGTGGACCGAGTGACGTACGGAGAATGCTCGCGATTTGACGAGCAGCAGATATGTGCGACTGGAACAATTTATTTTAAATATATGAACGGGTATTATGAGGCCACTCTGACAGGGTAATGAGATGATGAATGAACTGGCAAAAGCTGGTGCTAAGGAGGTCTTTGTTGGTCCCAAATCCCTTACAGGGATACTTACTCACTCTGCTGAACAAGAAAAAGCACACATGTCTCCAAAGTATCATATAAATGTACTTAATCATAATTTTTAATTTCTAAATATCCTAAAAGTACATGTTGAGCCTAATTGATAGTGATTTTACTTCTTCATCTTCCAAAGACATTCGGATTGCAGTTTTTGTTAGTTCTAAGTTATTGGTTAACCATAGGTTCCCAAACTTTTTAGCTTGCCGTCCACTTAGGCCAGATAACAAATACACTACAACAAATAATCGAAAACACGTATTTTTTATATTAACTTAACACAAAAAAATCACCAGGATAAAATATTTGGTTTGCATATCCAGATAATTTGTACAGGTATTTTTTTCAAATGCAGTAGCACCAGCTCTAATTGCTTCTGAGGCCCCTACTGCCCCCCCTAGGACTCTAACGCCCACTGAGGTGAGGAGAGGTAGCGACCACTTTGGGAAACTATGGGTAACATATCTCTGTCTACTCCTATTGTTCACGAAATTATCAACTTTATTTTCTACCCAAGACAGGTTATTAAAACAATCTCAGTACATAGAATTACATCTATTTGCCAAGTTTTTTTGACATCAGTTAATGGAAAGTGTGCAACCCTGGATTCATCACCTAGTTCGCCACTACACGGAACTTGACACAGGAGATAATAAAAATCGGTTCTCACTACTCAAAGTATATTGAGAGAGAAAAACGCCTTGAATTGGAGAAGAGCAAAATCAACCATTAAAATAATTGCTCCTTATAAAATGTAGGCACTATTTATAAAAATGAATCTTCATGTGTGAACGGCCACTCTAAGAGGATGATTTTCTGCAAAATTAAATGTTATCACTAAAGAGGTACCCTCTTTCGAACAAAAAAAGAATCATGAACGTTTTTCATGACAAATAGTTAGTACAGAAATAGTTATCGCATAACATACATACAAAAAAAAACAGTCGAATTGAGAACCTCCTCCTTTTTTGAAGTCGGTTAATATAGCACCTACTTCGAAAAGTAGCTGACATGTGACTCACTCAACCAAAACATCCGTTTCTAAAATTGTTAAAAACGTAGTAAATTGTTGTGATAATATACTTTTCCCGCAAAAAAGGCTTAATTTTCCCCATAAATATAAACATTATGCTGAGTTTCAGTCATTTCACTGCCATTTTCTACAGATTTTCTCGACTTTTCTAAGCAGTGGTGATTTTTTAAGGTTATATTAATTACATTATTGTTTATCGAAATTTTAGGTGCTCGAGGAAACAAGAAGCTCCATTTTACGTTGTAGAAAGAATAAATAAGTAATTAATTAGTAAAAAGTAGAAATAACTTACTTTCAATGCATCGATACCGGTTAGCCTTTTTTGTTTTTCCTGATCCCTCAAAATAATAAATGGACGACCATATTCGTCAAACGCGACGGCTCCTGGAAATAGAGCCATTTTTCACTCAATTATCACTGCACAAATCCAAGATGAAACAGGATTTTCTTTTATTTACGCCTGACATAAACTCGAAAAACAAATGAATGAAAAGACTGAACGAATGATTCGCAAGAGGAGTTCATCAACGAATGGATTTAGAGTTGCCCGACACGTGACAGTATATTGATCATTTTAATAGTTCAGTTCATTGCTGCGCCATTTACGGCCTCAAGGTCGTAAATAACTATCGAAATACGAATAGATAGGTATACTACCTATAAAGTGTTGATCTAGTATGTATGTACACAAAACCTTTCAGGCTTTTATGAAATCTCGTCTCACCTTGTTCCCATTGCTGTGAAACAGTTAAGTATTTGGCGTGAGACGCGATTCAACCATAGATATAGAATTCAACAAAAGCGGGGCACATAGGTTACATTATTCAGCGTGACTATGATAGTTTTTGAAATTTGATTAGTCAGATAAAAAGTCGCTATTTAGTCGATTCTGCCAAAGAATGTTACATACCTACTGTAGAGTAAGGGTGCATTTATTCGACACGAATTTCATCTCGTTCACCACGGCCGCCCGCCCGCGCGGTCTCCGTAGCGGAGTCCGCTTTGCCGCCCGGCGGCGTGCAGCGACCGCGTGCGTCTGTCATGGCAAAATACGCTCTATTTATAGAGTTCTTAGGTTTTCGCGATTGTTACACATAGGAAATGAAACTATTTTTCCGGATTTAAATCGCGTATATTTGTTTTTTCAAACAGACCGACGTTTCGGGCCCTTTACAGGTCCCATGGTCACGGTTGACTGAGGTGGTACAGTCTTCAACCAGTTATGTCTTATATTGATGCAAACCACCTTATTTTTTCACTATAGTTACAATAGTTATTAATTAAATACCTTATTTTGAATATAATTTAATACCTTATTTTTAATATACCTTCTTTCTTGGGCCATCTTAATTCTTTTAGTACTAAGATCCAATTTACTATGGAACAAGAGAATTATGGTACTTTAGCTTTCTTAGATGTTTTAATTAAAAGAAATCCTAATAACACCTTAGGCCATACTGTATTTCGAAAGAAAACCCATACAGATAGGTAATTCCCATCACCATCCTAGCCAGTTAGCTACCATGGGCAAATCTTTGTTTCAGAGAGCATATGGTGTCTGCGACAGTAATCATCTGGCTGGGGAACTTCAACATATAAAGCAAGTCCTACATGCGAATAAGTTGAAGATTCCACGCCAATGCCGCAGGTCCCGTGTGAAACCACCAACGGTCGAGCGAAGACCTGCCATCTTACCTTACGTGAGAGGTGTTACAGACAAGATCGGAAGAGTCCTCAGGCGTGCTATCTATCAAGACCTATTTCAAGCCCCTGAGGAAGATTTCTCAGTTCCTGAGACCCGTGAAATGTAACATCCCCTTACAGGATGCAGGAGTTTACAAGCTTGACTGTGAGTGCGGTCTCTCTTATATTGGACAAACAAAGCGAAGTATTTGTACCCGCGTCAAAGAACATATAACTGATGTCAAACACCGTCGCGTAAACAAGTCTGCAGTCTGCGAGCATGTCATGGATAAACCTACACATTCAATGAAGTTTGACAAACCCCAGGTCCTTGCAAAAGAAGTCCGTTATCTACCCAGGATGCTGCGAGGGGCCATTGAAATTAAAAAATCCTAATTTCAACAGGGAAGATGGTTTCTCCGTGCCACCAGTTTGGGATCCAATATTTCCTCTGATGAAAAATCCCAAACAGACATAAGACTGCAGTACTGACTAATATGTTTAAATTTATACTAATTTCTATTATTAACTGATAATAAAGCTAACTTAATAAAAATTCACTCAATAAAATAATTTGTAAAACTTAATGTAGCGTAAATTGGAATGTTTTCTTTGTAAAATTAAAAATAAGGTACCTATTTAATTAATAACTATTGTAACTATAGTGACAAAATAAGGTGGTTTGCATCAATATTAGACATAACTGGTTGAAGACTGTACCACCTCAGTCAACCGTAACCATGGGACCTGTAAAGGGCCCGAAACGTTGGTTTGTTTGAAAAAACAAATATACGCGATTTAAATCCGGAAAAAAGTTTCATTTCCTATACGCTCTATTTGTTCTGTTTTTACGTTTTAACTTAAATGAGCGTCGGCACACGGGCGAGCTTGGACTGAATTTGGTCTACTTCAGAGGAATTTAAAGTTTTTGCCTAGTAAATAGAATTCAGGGCCCCGATTTTAATTTAAATCGGAATTGATTCGATCGGATAGCCCATCCGCAATATTATACGCCTCGTCTCGGAAAAGACGCTGTTTCCGATCGGGAGAGGCAATCAAAATCAAGCTGCTGATTCGCCATTAATGAACGTACATGCATGAAGGCGTGGTAACTGGGCGGTCGCTGCGCGAAAACTTTCGCCTAGGCGCTAAGCCTGTTCCAGGGTGGACAGTAAAACGCCGTTAGAACTTTTGAACGGCGGACCGACTAAATCTAGTTTCTTGCGCCTAGTACGGACTAAATAGCAACTTTTTATCTGGCTAGTAAAATTTCAAAAACTCGACTGTGGTCACGCTGGCTTAAACACGCGTTTTTTCATCATACAGCCATTTGTCATGGTTACTTACTCAGATGATAATTATGCAAAAAAAAGTACACATGCGGTAAGCATCCATTTGCCTCAATAAGGCGATAAATAATCAGACGGCGAGCAGTCGCGAGCGCGAGATACTTCACTGTTCGCAGTTAGAATTTTATTCCTCAAATATATGTATGTATGTACGTACGTACAATTAAACAACCAAGTGTTATTCATTATTTTATTTGTGTCGAAAAGTAAATTCTCTATGTACATCAATAGTGTCCCATATGTCCCTATTAAATTTAAGAGGGATTGATAAGGGCGGATCTTACCTTTGGTTAAAACCATGCATACTATTCCTTATTTCATTAATGCAAATTAAATTTGGAAAATGGACTCAATTTTTTTATTGTAACCAGCTACCTTAATGAATGTCTCATGATCAGCACATCCCTAATGTTATTGAAAGCAAAGATTTGTTACCTGTTTAAGCTGATGGCTCTAGTCAATGCTCCATAAATAAACAATTAAAATTAATAGTGTTATTTACATGTTGTTAAACGTCAGAAGGCAAATTAGCAAAAATCATCTGTTTAATTCATGTCATTTGTAGCACCAACTGGCTTCTTTTCATCTTTTTGTTACTTATCATCGTAATGATGACACAAAAATAATGCTGGCCATCGTGGGAAATGATTTGATTTTTTTATTAAGGCTTTGGCAAAGCCATCAGCCTAAATATGAAGTTTATGTTTCTGTAAATATGGCCGCCACGAAGAGGATAGGCAATTTGAGGCAGCGTGCTTGGATTGACTCGGGATTCCTTAAAACGGGCCGGTACGGGTATTCTAGTTCGAGATTCGTATAATTTCGCGTTTTAATCATTGATTAAGGCACAATAAGCACTATCCTATTCCACTTTAAACTAGATCTCACAAAATAATTGAAAGTCAAAATAAAAACGAAACTTTTCCCTCCAAAAGGTCCAGAGCGAATCCGAAATGATTTGACAATCGGTGTAGAATATTCGCCAATTGTTATCCAGGGTGCGTCAGATGTACAGGAAGAAATGGTTTTCCCCGTACTTTTATACGTTTTGCGTATTGGCAGTCCCTTTTTAACATTTCGCCAGTGTCAGTTTTAGCGTAGAAAACAGCACCAACTGGCTACTTCGTCTTCTTTTTCTTTTAAATGTTATAGCCCCATAATCGATGGTTATTATTATTTCTTTAATGGCGGCCACTAGGCTTGGGCCAGTGTCAGTTTCGATGAATGCAGTCATTTAATATTGATCAAAAACGTCAACGCCATGTCACGCGTTTATTACTCAGAATGTGACCAATGAATTTTGATCGAAATAATCGATGATTCCGCCAACCTCAAATTCTTCTTTTTGCTTATTAGTGGTGCCTTTTTAAGATTTCGCCAGTATCGAGAATTCCGCTTATTAATTATAAAAATAATATAAAAAACACGGCGATCATCGCCAATATCCAGTTGTCACCTGAAAACCAACTGGTTCAAATCATCTACATGAAGGTTTAGGCGTCATGAATTCATGATATTGTAGCAGTAAAATATTTCGTCCTTCGGAAATACTGCCAGATCTTAGATTATATTTTTTCTCCAATTCATAACTTATTTATTTTCATCTATAACCAGATAACATTTTTCGTACTTCGGGATCCGGCTAAGACGTACTGCCAGATCTTAGATTTAAATTTTTCTTCAAATTCATAACTCATTCATTTTTATCTACCCTCAGACAAAATTTTTCGTCTTTCGGGTCTGGCTACTTTAGATGTCTAGAGTCATACTGCCACATATTAGATTTTAATTTTCCTCAATAACTGTTTTTTTTATTCATGACTAATTTTTTAATCTACCCCAGACTGGATTGATCATTTTCGAGTCTCTTGCATGATTTCTCGGGAAAAAAAAACTATATTTTACGACAAAACGAGTAGCAAATGTGTAAAATAGTACTGTCTTATATCGAAAAACTCTTTTTAAACGTTTGACAATGACCATTGTTGTTTGGCGCGTAAAATAAAATGAAAGGGAAAAAATAAATCAGGTCAATATATAGGATATTTTTTTTTAAATATATTAAGGCTTTGGCAAAGCCATCAGCCTAAACATGAAGTTTTGAAGTTGTTTCTGTAAATATGGCCGCCACAAAGAGGATAGGCAATTTGAGGCGGCGTGCTTGGATTGACTCGGGATTCCTTAAAACGGGCCGATACGGGTATTTTAGTTCGAGATTCGTATAATTTCGCGTTTTAATCTTCGATTAAGGCACAATAGCATTATCCTATTCCACTTTAAACTAGATTTCACAGAATAATTGGAAGTCAAAATAAAAACGACACTTTTCCCTCCAAAAGGTTCTGAGCGAATCCATATATAGGGTATTCATAACTTTAGGGATGAGCTCTAAGTAACTGGTGTTTATTTTCAATGCATAATAATACTTTTTAAAATAATTTAGCTACTTGTCATGCAGCCAAGAAAAGTATGCAAAGTTCATGGCCTATATTAATAGACAGTGCATAGAAACGCAGTAACAGAAACTTATTTTAAGGACCGATTCTTGTGACTATGTTGCCTACATTGTCAGCTCCTGGAAAGAAAAGAATATAGAGTTAATACTAATAATAAACTGCATATCATTCCAAGACAAACATATTAGTCACTCATATAAATAATAAACCTTAATATTGAGTCAGTTTAATCAATAATATTGAGTTAACTGTCACAACTCTAAACAAAGATGAATCATTTCACTTCCCTAACAAAGGTCTTAAAAAGAAACCAATCTGTTTGCCGATTACTGATAATGTCTTTAAATTACACTCCGCCATAAGAAAAGCTATGCTGCATTTTTTTAAAACAACCATATATAAATAGTAATACGTAAATAATAACATACCATAATAGCGTTGACAATATCTGATTGGTTGTTTCTCAAGGCGCGCACGGCTCTCGCTCGCGACACGTTGGCCTGTGACATAACTATTTCCACGTCCTTTTCGTCTACGCCCGACTCGTCTACTCCTTCCTCGTCTTCTTCTTCTGCTATTGGGGCTACAGTCTGTGGATGAACATGAATTTATGCAGAAATTAATTTGCCTCTTATGTAATAAACTCTTTTCCAGTAATTCAGAATAATAAGGCCATAAATCATGATTTTTTTAGTAATTTCGAATCCAAGTACGTTCGTTATCTTACTGAACAAAATTAGTATTTTTGGTGAAATGAACTTATTTATTTGCTGTGGATTTAAATCCTTTACTAATTTAAAGTTAATAGTTAGCACCTCCACATCTCATAGTAGATAGGTAGTAGTAACATTTTCATCATCAATGATATTTGGTTCACCAATGGGGTTCCTTTATCCAAAACCAAGATATTAGTGATGACACCTGAAAGTACTGGGTACAGCATCAATTGATAGATAAAAAAAATCTTTTTCAAGATCTGGTTAAATGAGAAGTTAGTGCTTGCTAAATTCACTTACCGTGCCGGCAGCAGCAGAATCAAGTCCAGCAGCCGCAGTCTCTGGAGCCTTGAACCTTTCAGCGGCTGCCATGGTGGCTTGCTGTGACAGATCCTCTATCTTAGCCTCTCCAAAAACGATGTATGTGTCTGAATGGGGATTCTTGTACACATCAGGAGAGTTGATTACAAACAGGATGTTTTTAGATTTCCTGATGGTTACTCTGTTCACTCCTTGGACCTGGAATATGGTAAAAAAATATTTGAATTATTTTTTAGCAGTGTATTGTTAAAGTAAGGACTGATTAGAGTCAACACCATCAGAAATTACATACAACAAACTGTTGTTTCTGGCTACCAGATGGCAGATAAAACGTTAGGTTTTCTATACTTGTGATTATGCTAGCTCAGCCAAATACTTTAATGCAAAACACAGTACTGTTGCTTAACAAATAGGTAAAGTTAGAATAACGAACTGCACACGGGTTTTGGTCAATGTATTGTACCACTATTTGGCCGAGGCATGTAACCACCTGACAGGCACAGAGCATTTGCTTAGCAGTGGGCAGTATTGGCATGAAACTTACAGGTTTAAGACCAAGTTTGCTCATAATCTTGCGCGCCTTCTTCTCTCCGCGAGACTGCTTGGCCTTTGAGACAATGTCGATACCGGGAATAGGGTTTGCGATGCCACCAGTTCCTGGTACTCCTGAAACATAGAAGATTATTCAAAGTAACCAAGTAAGTAAGAAAGTGATGCTAGCTTAATAATGTTGTATTTTGTTGTCAATTGATGTTGTCTCTTTGGTCGCTACAGAACATAAATGTTGGTTTCTTTTGCCTTTTTGGTTGTAAATACAACCTGACAAATGCTGAGTGGTAATAATTTTGGCTCTCGATGTTTAGTATTAAGATTTACTTTAATAATGTATTATTACTAGTCATAAGAAATGAAAACAAATAAATATTATTTTCTTTCTAATCTGTTTTTTTCATTCGTTACAAATCCTCTTTCCTTTCGACTTCCCATGTGGACATCATCCTTTGAGTTGCCAGTAAGGGCAAGTCATGAGATAATACTTGAGAGTAAGTAGGACATCCAATTTCAGTGGTGTCTTTTGCCATCAGGTCAACAGTCTCGTTACCTACTATACCAGAATGACCTGGGATTCAGGCCAAAGAGACTCTGATTCCTTGACTGAAGCAACTGTATAGCACATTTCTAATTTTTAAGACAGGGAAAGTTCGATCTGTTACGGAAAGGATTGGACAGAATTGCCTGAAGACAACTCCTCGAGTCTGTTAATATGACAGTTTTGCCTAGCTTATGAGACTCAATATAGAGAAGAGCTTCTAAGATAGCACAAATGTTACAAATGTGTAGGGTTGACAGTTTCATAAAATTTTAAATAGTTATGTGGTTGTTGTTGATAGTTGTATTGATAGAA